AATTTACACCAAGAAACATTTCACGTAAACAGTTCTATTTCTTTCAGGATTAACAGTTTGTTAGGTTCTAAGAATGCCTATTTCAAGAGGGCAATAGATTCAACTTCTGTTTGTCTATGGCGTTATAATGTTCTATTTCAACAGGCTTTTATCAGACACAGTAAGACAACTAAGATTTGTAGAAAAGTTAAGGATGGCAATTGCCTAGTATTTCTCCTAGAGTTTATAAAGTGTTGCTGATATTCTAATTTTCTGTGGCTTTTTGGTGCAGTTTGTTAAATCTGTCACTTTTTTAATATGTACAATTTGATGCAGCGCTTTAGTAATCTTTGACTAGGTATTTGTGGAGAGAACCAGAGAAGAAATAATAATGTAGTATTTTAAAACTGTAGTGGGGATAGGTAGGATAAAATATGTGCACTCACACTTTCCTAGAGCTTCAATACAGCTCCAGTTTATGCACCCGGGCGATATAATCTATGGATCAAGTGCAGAGGTGATTCCTCGAATTATAGGTGTGGTAGTAGGTATCCTCATAAAAAATAAACAAATAAAAATCGTATATGGTGAAGTATGTAGAGCTATGAAGCAAGGGTAGGTAAAAACTATAAAATGTACACTCACATGTAACGGAGCCATAAAACCTGGCTCTTCTGATAGCGCTTGAAGTGGTATGATCCCCACCCAAGGATACAGGTGTAAATATAAATTCTTTAGTCCGTGTATATGTGGAGATAAAAAAACAGAACCACAATAGTGTACACCGTAAAAAGGACTGTAAGCAGAAATAAATAAGTTAAACCTACTCACATGCTAAAGAGCAAGTTCCGGTTTGCTCAATCCAAAGCGCTTGGGTGGTATGATCCCCACTGAGGATATAGCTCCAAAACAATCCAACAGCAGCAAAGTTGGGTCCAATTAAATAAGTACTTTAATATTAAAAAATAATAAAAGCAATACAATATATAATAAAATAAAATAAAATTATAAACAATACACTTAACGCGTTTCTCCTTGGATAGGCTTTATCAAAAGCCCAGACAGTCCCCATCAGAAGAAGACTGAACGCCGGCGGGGGAATGGCGGCGATCGGTAAGTACATGGGGAGGGAGTTGGAGGGTAGGGGATTCATTTTTTAATTTAATTATTTATTTATTTTAAACATTTACTGAGTGCCTCAACCTCTGAATGCTTCCGATGCTCTGCACTACACTGCCGGGAGCCACGTGCGGCAACCCAGAAGTGAACGCTCCAGGGGGAGCGATCACTTGGGGGCCCGGCAGTGAGGGTGCTTTTCCACGATGCCTCAACATCGAGGCATCATGTAACACCCTAAGAGCGTCAGAAAGCGATCACGATCGCTTTCAGCGCTTATTTTGGCTGCGGACGTACAGGGTATGTCAGCGCTCATTAACGACCGTTTTTTGGCTGACGTACCCTGTCTGTCTGCGGTCACTAAGTGGTTAATGAAGCAGTTTTAATATATAGATTACGCCCCTGCAGTCTTACTGCTCAATTCTCTGCCATTTAGGAGTTAAATCACTTTGTTTATGCAGCCCTAGGCACGCCTCTCTGCATGTGATTGACAAAGTCTTTCTAAACACTTCCTCTAAAGAGTTATCTAAAGTTTACACTTCCTTTTTTGCAAATAAAGTCTGGAGTTCTGTCAGATTTCCCTCAGTGGCAGAATTGCCGTCCGCAAATAAGGGATGCAATGGTGGAGCTAAAGGGCAGCGGGGCGGAGCACAATGGGCAGCGGGGCTAAAGGTAGCTGCTGACTGGTTGCTGCTGCACACTAAGGGGAAGCAGGAGGGAGTCCCTGCTTCCTCAACAACTAGAATCCAGGCATGTAATAAGAAACTCCAAGATGAAGGTTGAGTGGTTTATGAATATCTGGCATTATTTTCCCCTGATATGGGCTTCATAATTAGAATACAGAATGGCAAACAGACAACGTCATCATCAGTGCACTACAGGTAGAACAGCATTTTCGCCTAGGTCTATGATGTCACAGCCAGGGTAGCAATTCTGTGTTTTTTTTCTAGCAGGCAGCTGCTTCTTCTCAAAGCCACCTGTAATTAGACCTAGAATTTACTGACAGCATTTTCGCCTAGGTCTATAATGTCACGGCCAGGGTAGCAATTCTGTGGTTTTTTTCTAGCAGGCAGCTGCTTATTCTCAAAGCCACCTGTAATTAGACCTAGAATTTACTGATACAGGCAGTGTGCGTGGAGTCACATGATGGCACCTGTGAATGTTAACTGAGGCCACTAGTCGCCAGATAGAAATATGGGAGTTTGACTGTATGTATGTCAGTGTGTCTACGTAGGTATGTGACCTTATGTATGTGAGTGTATCTATGTATGTATGTGACTGTATGTATGTGTCTTTGTGTATGCGTGTATGTATGTATGTGACTGTATGAATGTGTGTCTACGTATGTATGTGACTGTATGTATGCGAGTGTGTGTCTACGTATGTATGTGACTGTATGTATGTGGCTGCGTGTGTTTGTATGTGACTGTATGCAGAGCTGGATTAACATAGGGGCTTATGGAACTGCAGTTTCAGGCCTATGCCTATGGAATAGGCCCATTGATTAAAACACTATAGAATTATATATATATTCTTTTACTACTCTTCACATGCCCTTGCTTAAGTATGGAAACTTAAGAGGGATGTAGGGGAACAAAACTGGTGTGGACTGGCTGACATTGAAATTAGTTAAGGTAAAGCTGGCTTTGTGCACTATGCAAATGCTCTTGCTGCTTCAGTCTCCCTAACACTGTGGCATGTTCCCTTTCTTCTACACTCACTAAATACACTTTTTCTCTGTCCCATGCTGTATAACAGAAGCTTCTGCCTGCTAGTAACAAGGTTAGGAGAGGAGTGCACGAGCAAGTGCTAGAGGAAAGTCATTATAAAGCATAGTGCTAGCGCATCATTAGAAGCATTTATGCCAAGCTCAGGGTGCTATCTGCACAGTATAATCTTGGTTGGTCATCCTGCATGATTGGCAGACAGTCTGATGTGCATTCACGCCAGGCTGACCATCTAATTCTTTGTGCATACATGCCCCCTTTTTGGGCATGTTTGTCCCTTTGGGCAGTTCTGGTTACATGATTCACATCAGTCATGCCGCCCACCGACATCCTGCTTCACCGGACACTGCTATTAGGGGGTATTGATTTACTTAAAAGATGAAAATGAGAGATTAGCATAGGTTATGTGTTTTCTGACAACTATATTCTGTGAGTTTCCATCCAGCATCGCCGCCACCAGATACATGACACTAGGTATAACTGTTTTAGTGTTTTCTGTCAATAAGATTCTGTAATTAGGCCCATCATAATTGTCGAAACCAGGCCTGTTAGGCTATTAATCTGGCCCTGACTGTATGTATGCGAGTTTGTGTCTACGTATGTATGTGACTGTATGTATGTGACTGTGTGTATGTATGTAGGTATGTGACTGTGTGTGGTATGTGTCTATGATTGTATATGGTGTGTGTCTATGTGTGTGACTATGTATGAGGTGTGTGTCTATGTATGTATGTATGTATGTGCATGTGTGTGAGTATATGACTGTGTGTATGTATGTATGTGACTGTATGTGATTGTGTGTGTCTATGTATGTATGTATGTGATTGTGTGTGTGTGTGTGTGTGTGTGTGTGTGTGTGTGTGTGTGTATGCATGTATGTGACTGTATGTATGTGCATGGTGTTTATCTATGTATGTATGTGACTATGTGTATGTATGTAGGTATGTGATTGTATGTAGTGTGTGTCTATGCATGTATGTGGTGTGTGTCAATATATGTATGTGACTGTATGTATGAGGTGTGTCTATGTATACATGTGCCTCTGTGTGTGTATTTGTGTGTCTGAATATGACCATGACTGTGTGTATGGGAGTTTGAGTCTATGGGTGTACCCAAACTGGGTTAAAAAAAAAATCATGTTGATAATCTCAAAACACGTAGTCACAATTGTCAATACTTACCAAAACCGTCCATGATTCAAAATGTAATATAAACTGGCAGCCGCATTGCCGCTAACAAAGCTTTTTCATCTCCCATTGAAATAAATAGTTGCCACTAAGTACCATGCATCACCTGGTTTTTATAGTAGACAGATCACATTGCTGTCTTGATGGATGCAGTTACTGTCTGATTGCACATTAATGCTAACTCTGCTGGGTAGAAGACAGTTTTTGATTGATCTGACACATCTCAGATCCATTGGGCACCCACAGTCTGGCTTCTTTTTCAGGTATAACTAAAGCCGAAGTCTCTACTTCCAGGTTACTTACAACAGTTCTGCCCATTTTTGGAAGGGCAGACCCTCTAAGCCACTTAATTCTGTGGTGATACTGCAGCCCATGGATCCTGTCCAAGTAGGTACAAACTGGGAAGAGAGCGCCAGCCCGTGGGCACCCCGGGGTTTCAGATAAGTTTGAAAACAGTTGTGACTACTTAACATTGGATGGAGCCTGGGGACTCCCGGCACTATAGCCACTACAGAGTGCAGAAATGTCTATTGTGCTGAGGTAGCCCCTTTAAACGATTAAAAGCTTTAGTTTAAAATGAATTACAATTTGCATTTCTTCAATATAATTCTGCAATTTGTTGGGATTTTTTTTAGGTTTTTTTTTTTTTTTTTTGCTACCAATCAGCACTGCCCTCATGTGTTGGAAAATAAAATTCTGCTGCAATGCTATCTGTTTTAATTTGAGTGGTTTTAATGAATATCCAGATTTATTTAAATGTATTCTTGCGTGATTTCAAATGTATTTATGAAACGTATTCTTACAAGATTTCTGATTTATTTGACAACATACGCTATCCTAGCTTGTCCCCATATTACACTGAATTCAAGACATAAGGGAGTTTTTAATCCAGAGTTTGAAATTACTTCCATTCTCTCCATTAGCTGCTCCCTGAAACACATTATCTTCTGCAACTGGTCTCCGTACTAAAAATAGAAATAATAACACTATAGTGTCCTAGACAATTTTTTATTTCAGGATCCTCCTCCACTCTCCCCCTGCCCCCCCCCCCTTTACTACCCAATTAAAATTGGAGGATTCACTTCCTGGAAGTGACTCCTCCGATTTATATAGGGTAGTAAAGGGGGGGCAGGAGGGAGAGTGGGGGTGGATCCTGAAATAAAAAAATCTGATCAGTCAATCAATAGCTCCCCATTCATAAAACAGCTTGAGAAATATATGTATTTTCCTTGAGTTGTTTTGTGAATGGTGAGCTACTGATCAACGGTGCCACTGCCAGAGGCTTCCTGATTCAAGCATTGGACAGCAGGAGATGATGGTGGGCAGAGCAGCCCGGAAGTGTTTCTTTAATTTCCCTCACTTTCTTTTATTCTTGACCCATTATTTTCTTCAGATTGTAAACTCATGGGCCATCTCACTAAGCATTGTGTATAAAATACATATTGCAGTACATAACAAGTGGTGTAACTGGTACCCTAGTGCTTCCCTTATGCACCAGATATTAGTAGTACAATTAAAGAGACAAATATCAGTATATACACCTCCCCAATGTGATCACAACAAAAATAAATAATATTACCAATATGGAACTTGATTGCAATACAAACAGCGTAGAGCTTGATTGAGATATAGACTAAAACAATAAAAAAATAAAAAAAAACAGCATAGTGCGAACTGTATAATAACTAATAAAAAATCAATGAATTTATGACTCCCACTCACATTGTCCAGAGCCGTACCAGGCTCTGTAAATCAGGCTCAGGGGTGCCAAATACTGGCTAGCAATCCAGGTGATTCAGGCAGATGAAACTCCAAGTATAGGTGCAAAATATATTTATTACAAAATTATATAAAAATTATGCACTACAGGGCACTATGGGGGTGGAACCCAATACAGAAATAAATAAAATATGACAAAATTGGAATTCCATCTTATTTGCGATACTCTGTTGAACCTCCTTGAAGGGATAAGATGGGATAATAATATGTTATTGATGACCTGTGACGTCTCAAGCCTGTATACAAGTATACCACATTTGTCTGGCTGTGAGGCAATCAAATATTTTCTTAAAAATTTATAGTGAATTGAAAGAAGTACAGATACAATTTATTTTAGATGGAATTAGACTTATCCTTTGTAATAATTATTTTTGGTTTGACGATAATTTTTTTTTACAGCTTAAGGGGACTGCGATGGGGACCAGGTTTGCGCCCAGCTACACTAACTTATTTATGGCGCATTGGGAAAATCCGTTTTTAACGGAGGAAGGTGGCTGGGCGCGGAACCTGGTCCTTTATCGTCAATTTATAGCTGACATCTTTTTTATTTGGCATGGTGATGAAGAATCACTGCGGCCATTTTTAGAATTCCTAAACCTTCAGCATCCAGACATTAAATTGACAAGCGAGTATAGTTCATCTAATATCAATTTTCTGGACTTAAATATCTATGTAGACCATGAAGTTTTAAAGACCAAGACTTTTTTTAAGAAAGTCGATGTTAATGGCTACATAGAAACATCCAGTTGCCACTATGATTCATGGCTACAAAGTATCCCTAAAGGCCAGTTTCTTAGGTTGTTCAGGAATTGTAGCGATGTCAAAGTGTTTGAGGAATAGGCAGTCTGTTTGAGGGATAGGTTCGTGGAAAAAAATTATAACATCAAGGAATTGGAAAGATGCATTAATTCCATAAAAAGATGTATCGAAGTAAGATTTTGAATAAAAAGACGTCTAGTGAGGAGAGGAAGTATGCCGACCAAGTACCAATCATTTTAAATTATAGTGAAGATGCCAAACAAATTAAGCACATTATTAACAGACATTGGCGTATTCTTAAATCAGATCCTAATCCGAAAGAAATTATTGGTGATAAACCACGCATTATCTACAGAGGGCCAAAAAATTTGAAGCAACATCTAACCACTAGTTTTATCAAAGATAAAGTGGAAGTAAAAAACTTATTTGGTCTAGACAAGGGTTTTTACCCTTGTAAATCTTGCCTGACCTGTAAGAAAACCTTATTTGGCAAACAAAAACAGACAGAATTTATCTCTTATTCTACTAACCGTGCGTTTAAAATCCATCAGCTTTTAACCTGTAATTCCACTAATGTCATATACCTCCTCTGGTGCCCATGTGGTCTGCAGTACATTGGAATGACTACGAGAGCTTTCAAAACCAGAGTTGCGGAACATGTGGGGAGTATCCAGAGGGGGCATATGAAACATAGTGTATCTTCACACTTCACTGAAAAACATGGCGATGATCCTTCCTTGTTGTCATATGCTGTTATTTTTTTAAAAATTTAAAAATTGGAGGGGTGATAATAATGTTAAGGAGATGGCTAAGATAGAGGGCAGGTGGATCTTTGATGTGAATTCCTTGTCCCCAAATTGATTGAATTTAGATTTTGAGTTTATTCATTTTTTTTAGAATTTATTTTAATTATTAGATTTGTTTGAGATTTTTTTCTAAGATTTTTTCTCTTTTTTAGACACATATATATATATATATATATATATATATATATATTTTTTTTATAGTATTAATTGCATTTATTTGTTTATTAGGTCACTGGAGGCTCCACTTGCTTTCTGTCTAATTGTTCCCCAGATATGAGCACTAATGGCTTTTTGTAAATATATAAATTTTTTATACATTTTTAAGTTTCTCTCTACTTATAGAGAGACTGATGATAGTCTGATTTCAATTTGTACTGTGTATGTATATATCTATTTACTATTTTGTATTGAATATACTTTGAATTTTTGCATTTTACGATTATTTTATCACTTCCTGCGAATATGGAGTGTATGGTTGCTATGGGGACTCAATTACAATATTAAGGAACAACACACATCCTGAACGCCGCGTTTCAGCGTGCGTTCTAACTGGCCGGAAACCGGAAGTGACGTCACTGACAAAACCGGAAGTGACACAACGCCGGTTTGAAATTGAATCCAGGTGAATGGCAAAGATAGAGCCTATATAAGAAGATTCAACAGGACATGGAGATAAGCACTGGAAGAAGGCTGCTAGCCGAAACGCGTCTGCTTTTATTTTATATACCAGTTATTTGTGATTTTATGTGTGTTTCTACATTCTGGGCTACTATTCAAATAGGGGTAAGTGGAATTCCAATTTTGTCATATTTTATTTATTTCTGTATTGGGTTCCACACCCATAGTGCCCTGTAGTGCATCATTTTTATATAATTTTTTACTAAATATATTTTGCACCTATACTTGGAGTTTCATCTGCTTGAATCACCTGAATCGCTAGCCAGTATTTGGCACCCCTGAGCCTGATTTACAGAGCCTGGTACGGCTCTGGACAATGTGAGTGGGAGTCATATATTCATTGATTTTTTATTAGTTATTATACAGTTCGCACTATGCTGTTTTTTTATTTTTTTCTTGTTTTAGTCTATATCCCAGTCAAGCTCTACGCTGTTTGTATTGCAATCAAGTTCTATATTGGTAAAATTATTTATTTTTGTTGTGATCACATTGGGGAGGTGTATATACTGGTATATGTCTCTTTAATTGTAACCACCAATAACATCGGCTCACAACATTACCGGCCACTTACAGAGCTGGCATGGAGAGACATGCTGTGTAAGCTGTCACCACAACAGCCACACTCACCCTGAGCATGCGCACTTCACACTGGGTGATTGGCCTTAGCAGGAGATAGCAACAGTGTATTCAATGTATCAAACTGTGATTATGTGCTACGATACATACATATCTTTTTAAATTTTAAATGGCAAATGCATTTTACTTACAGAAATAATATTATGTTTTAGATCTGAACTTTTCTTTAATTTTATTGCTGTCTAATATGGATTTATATGATTCGATGTGTGCTTTAGTGTTTCAATTTAATGACATATAGCTATCATGTATTTCACTATACAGATCCCCTGCTTACCACAGAGAGGGCAAGGACTTGGCCCTGGGAAATATCAGAGTCTGTGGAATTCTGATGGTGGCCCTCACTAAGGCCTGGGACTGGAGGGGAACCCTGCACTGGCACAATCAGACCTTACTAGTCCCACGCTAACTCTGCAGCCTGCTGGAATTGGCTTAACCCGGTACCAGTCTACAGCCTGAAACTGCGCATGTTAAAGACGGATGCCATATGCAAAACTTGATACAAGATCTTTTTTTTGTTCTTGTTACTGCTCACACTACTATTACTCTTATTCATTTTACTCTTCATGTTTATTCTTTGTGTGAGCTTGGGGTAATGCAGAGAGGTGTAAGTTACTATTGTTAGAGTGGATAATTTTCATGTTAAATAAAATAGTACACTCTTTGGGCATGATGCCCATCTGCTGATTCCCGTCAGACTAACATGTTCTAGCTTTCGATACCTACCTTAAGAGCTGTGCGACACCAGTACACAGCACTGGCTGGCATTTAACGTTCGATCTACTAATATCAACAGGAACAACAGTCATCTTGTTTTCTTTGTTTATTATTCTCATAAAGAGTACAACATTATCAACATACCATTTAGTGTATTGTCAATTTATCTTATCACATCTACTCATGTGGAAATGTCATTTAAGGCTTGTTTGTCAATCATTGGACAACAAAAATAAAGATTGAAAAAAAAGAAAAGAACTACTGTAGTCCAAATTTCTAAAAAAGTCTTAATGCTGGCCATGATAAAAAGATGTCAGTATACACAATGCATCACAAATTTCTATGTATGGGGCTGTGTAGCTGCAGACCGGTCAAATTGCCCATGATAGCTCCTGTCCACTGGCGAAATAGATTTTAATAGGGACAATGGAGCAATTAAAGAAAATTGCCTGATCTGATGAATCATGTTTAGGTGGATGGCCAGGTACATATGCATCATTTACCTGGGTAAGAGATGGCAGAAGGATGCACTAAAGGAAGAAGGCAGGGTGGCAGTGGTCATGTTATGCTCTGGGCAATGATCTGGTGGGAAACCTTGGGTCTTGGCATTCATGAGGATGTTACTTTTACATGTTTCTTGCAAACCACATACACCTCTTCATGGCAATTGTGTTGTCTGATGGTAGTGGCCTCTATCAGCAGGATAATGCCACAATGCAAAAATTGTTTAGGAATGGTTTCAGGAACATGACAAAGAGTTCAAGGTGTTGCCTTGGCCTCCAAATTCCCCAGATCTCAATA